AAGGAGTTGAACTTGCACAAGCCCAAAGAATGAAACTGGAGCGCTGTCAGCGCTATTATTACGCGGTCGCGTAAGACCCTCCGTTGAGGCGATTAAAAATATGTTGTAGCGAAAGTGATGTTCAGAGAAGCTGCAGCCAAGTGCTACACTGCCGCTGACCGCGTTACAAAAGCGCGGGCGCGAAACCAGTGGCTCGGCCGCGAGTGAAATTGCGCTGAGAGCGGAGATAGAGAATCGGAGACCTTGCAATATGAGCTCAAATGAAGAACGCGGCCCGCGTCTAAATTACGCGACCTCAAAGTTACTAGGTGCGAACGCGGTGCAAATTCCGCTGAGGGCGTGAAAGAGGTTCAGAGACTTGGCTAGTGGAACCTAACTGAGGAACGCGGTCCTCGAACATTTTACACGGCCGCGATAGAAGCCAACGCGGACGTGGTAGACTTTACGCTGTCCGCGAAACCTATCCAAGTCCAAGTCCAAAATTGAAAAAACGCGGTCCGCGCTTGTTTTTGCGCGGCCGCGAAAGTTCATGCGCTGAGGCGCCTAGTATTTCGCTGATAGCGGAACCTCCGTAGGGGTATTTTTGTCCAGTAATTTCAGCTGTGTATAAATAGATCTTTTTCACATTTTTAGGTTATCTTTGGTATTAGTGAGCTCGTGAACAGCCGTACTTTACCATTTAGAGTAATTTAAGAGAAGCTTTAGCTTATATTCTTAGATTTTGTTCTTGTAATCAACTTTTATGGCTTATATTTCATCTCCATGTTTGATTTCTACCTTGATTATGAGTAGCTAAACCTATTAGCTAGGGTTGTGACCCAACCCTAGTGTGGGTATTTAATGGGTCTTCAATTTTAGGGCTTATTTGTTTATGGGTTAGTGATATTTAGCTTGTTACATGCTTTAACTGTTGATTTGGTGGTTGCAAACACTGATTCATGCCTTTTTGACTTAGGCTCTTCTTGAGAAAGAAAGCCCAAGTCTAGGAAAAATAGGCTAACAGGAAATTTGGGTGAATTCAAGAGATTGATAGCCCAAATTAAAGGGTTAAACCTAAAGATAGTAATACCCGACTTGAGCCAATTTTATTTGCATTGTTTGAACACCCAATTAGGCTTGAGAAAACCAATTAGGGCAAAGTCACTAAAACTACCGAGAGGTATAGAGCGAGTAATTATATGTAAAGGTTATATCACGACCCCAAATATAACAAGCTTGTCCTAAATTCTAGACCCCATTAGATACTCGCCTAGGTGTAAGTCACTTCCCTAGTGCTTTTTAATCAATTGAGAAAACTCCTACAAAAATATTGTACTTAGATTATTTTCAGCAGTCAATAGCATTAAACGTAGAATACAAACAAATCCAAGCATGGTTAGAAGTGCAATTAAAAGCAACACGTATAGCTAGATTAGATAGAAATGCAACTCCCAATCAATATTAACTCCCTGTGGATATCGATCCCGACCTTTCGGGTAAAAGCTGCATCGACCACTCCTCGCCATTATATAGTGGTGCAGGGTTGGAGCCGATCAGGTACCGGCCGACCCATAAGTCTGTAGCAAAACTGTGACACGATGACTCAGAGACTCGGCTGCACTCCGAATGAGGTGGAGTCTTACCGATCCTTCGCTGAATGCTAACCTCGTCTACTATGAGGGCTCATCAAACTGATTATCTATACCTGCAGGCATGAATGCAGCATCCCCAACCAAAGGACGTCAGTACAAATAATGTACCAAGTATGTAAGGCGGAACTGAAACATAACAATAGTCAACATTAATTAAAGACATATAAGAATCAACATGAATTACTGAAGTGCCACCGTATATGCATATTTATCATACTTATATATATAATGCTTTTCTTTGAGACTATTTTCTATTGTCCATATAGTATGATGCATGAATGCTTAACTGATCAGTGGTAACTGCCCGACCGGCCGTAGCTCGGTGGTAAATGCATGACTGCCCCACCGGTCGTAGCTCGGTGGTAAATGATTATGCATATAATACCATTATGAATATTAACATCTTTATCAAATACCTCAATAGGGAATATACATGCTTAGACATGCGTGAATATCATTTTACAGTAATTAATAACGTAGACCTTCTTAGTTACTAACAGTAGAACTATTTATGAAATAATATTACATTTACGTATCGTTACTTGGATCATGCCAAAAGAACGAAGGGATAGCCTTAACATACCTGAGCCGATTCTCTTGACAATCCCTGTAACACACGTATTTTGCGAAAAGTACTTAACGTCAGATCAAAGTAGGGAAAAATCCGTATGATATTCTTGAGAAAGATTGTATCGTGTTCTCTTAGAATTACATTTCACGCTGCTATTACATAATCTTGTATTAGTTTTGTTATGCAAATCACGTTGCCATTCCAATCCATATGATATCTCTTTTTGAATTTAAGAAGTCTTTTACCTTAGCGGGTGTGGGCCCCCCTTAGGTGACTACTTAGCCACAATTTTCCTCTAATTATGCCACCAAGCATTCAAACCAAAGAGTCACTATTTCCCAAGCCTTTTCCTGCCACGTTTGAGGTCTATTAGGCTTATCCAAAGATGCTAATTAATTAGTTAATCTTTCACTAAAAATCAATAATTACTCAATTATCCACATAATTAAGAGTTATCTCAAATTTCTTACAATACTACTCACTTTTAACATACTTTATATACCTTACTATCATGGTCATGTGGTACTTTGTACGACACTAGTCCATAAATATGGGGTATTAGAGCTTGGACCGTATTTTATCTCAAAATGACAAGCTTCAACCAAACTCATTTTCTTTGATTGGTTTACCCTCTAACCTTCACGACGCTTACTTATCACCTGTTATAAATAGCATAAATAATTATAACCTCAAAAATAGTCTTATCCTTGAACCTATGTCAATTATCTTACAACAAATCCAACGTACAAAATTACGGGATGTAACAATAAATTTCCCACTATTAGCTCCTCTAGTATTCCAGATTATAAAATTCATTAACACCTAGACTATGGTGGTGACTTCCTTTTCAGGCATTTTCCTTTCCCTTTTGGGGAAGGGCTCTCCAGAGTCTCCTTCAGATGATTGCTCTCTTGTTGCAGTTGTGTCCATGGTGGGTCTTAGCTTTAATGTTGAGTCTCTTGAGCCTTGTTCTAAGAGAAACCTTAAGCTTACTCCGCACATCATCATGTTTTTTGGACAAAGTGTGATAAGCATTTCGCCCCCCGGCCTTTGGATATTTCCATCAGTTCCTCTTATTGAATGAGTATTGCCTTTGCTTTGAGGACTCCCTATTTTACGATTAATTTTTCTAGTTCCGAGTTGGATACTTCTAGGTGGTCCTGTGCCTTTTTCGATTATTTTAATACAAAGCTAAGCTTCAAATTATTATCAAATAAAGCTAGGTACAAATTAGTCTCATTTTACCATTCATTCGAAGCACGCCAAGGAGTGCCGCATAGAAACCAATACCCTCACAATTTTTATTTTATTTTGTATGTATAAATAATATTTTACTCAAAAATCTATTTATACACACTGCACTAGGGGTATCAATGGATATTTACAAATCGATTAAACTAATTGAATCATACTGTATTGAACCGATATTTATGTTTCTTTTAATAGAAATGTAGGATTTTATATAAATCTAGAATCGTACCGATAATTAGGGTAGACTTTTTATTTTATAAAATAAACCGAAAAATACCGGACCATACCGAATAAATTTACATGTGAAGAATATATTTATATATTAAGCTTAAAAATAACAAAGCGTTAAATTTTCCTTGGGCATTGGAATTATGAAAACAGATACAAGTCAACAAATATTAATTAAACTCGAAATCCTAATTCTCAAACATATTAGCTACTCCTATTGAAACTAAATCATTTCTAATATATTCACTAGTAAGACACAAGCTATTCTAGCGATTATGAGTAGCAAACTACAATGTATTGAATATGTTTCCTTTTATATGATTTAGATTTATCTTTTTGAATATTTAATCTTCTATAGCATGTATTCTTGAGTCTCGGCTTGGTTAATATCTTTCCATTTAGTGTAATTTATATTTTTTTGTATTTGTTTAATTTCTTTTATATTGTTGTAACATAGTTGATGGATCTATACTCTGACCATCTTTCAGTTTTGTTAATTCATCACCCTTTAAACAGTAAAAATGTCTAGAAAGTTTTGGTAAATCCTATAAAAGTACGTATGTTATTGCATGCTACTTCTACTATTGACTTTTACATGACATTTAAACCGAAAATTAACCGAACTGTAGGGATACTGAAGAGAAATCGATATGATTGGGATGGTTTCGAAAAGTTTAATTTTGATTATACATAATAGAATAACCGAAAAATTGATATAGTACAACTTTTATAGGATAACCGACCGAATTGAACCATTGACACCCCTACACTCTGTCGATCGCTTGATAACTAAAATAGTAAATTAATTGGAACATGAAGTAAAGTCTTAAAACTACCACTGTTTCAAATTCAAACTATTTAAAAGCTAAAATTGTGACAATTAATAGACCAATACACATGCGCAAAATTTTGCTATGCTATATATTTGCCGCAAGGCCTCGAGACAAAAATACTTAGATGCTTACAAGAGAAAAACGTTAGAATCTGGTGTGCTGTTTTGGAGATTACTAGTACTCAAAAACAAGAAGCATAATATGGACCGCCACTTTAACTGGCAAAAAAAATGCTAAAAGCTTAGTTAAGATCGTCATTCAATTGAAGTAGTGCCAAGGCCCCACTACAAAACAGGTATATATATA